TTTTGTTTGGTTTGGTTTGTTTTTTGTTTTGTTTTTTTGTTTTTTGGTTTTGTTTGCTTCGCTTTTTTTTTTTTTTTTGCTTTTTTTGCTTTTGTTTTGTTTGCTTTGTTTTTGTTTTTTTTGCTTTTGTTTTGTTTTGTTTGCTTTAGTTTTGTTTGCTTTGGTTGCTGTTTTATTTTGTTTTGTTTTGTTTTCTTAATATTTTTACCCTTGAGTTCTAATATTAATCCTACCTTTTTTTTAATAAATGACCCTTTTACTAATATTACTGACCCTATTTTATTTTATTTTATTATCTTATTTCATTTTATTTACCCTTCCGTTTAAGACATAATTTATAATATTTTGTAATTAATCATTTTATTTAGTTAGTTACTCTAACCTTTTGATGTACAGTATAATTAATGTTATTTAATAACAATCATATATTTTATTTTATTTTATCTATAACAATAAATCATTCATTGCATGTTATTACTTGTAAAATTATTATGAATTACTTTTATTATTAAGCTATTTTTAATTAAAATTATTACTGCACAATTTTTATTTGATTAGATTTTTATTTATATCATTATTATTTTTACTTATATATAAAATTCTTGATTCTTCTTAATTTTATCTATTTTAATTAAAACATTTAATTAAATTTTTTAAACATTTATTTATTTTATTTCTAACTCTTAAGTGTATTCATTTCATTACTAAACCATACTTTATTTTAGTTTTACTTTTAGTATTTGTTTATTTTTTAGTTTATTTTATAAACCTTTGTGGTACAATACATTTTTGGTTATAATGTATAGAAGTATGTATTTTTATATTATTGAATTTAATCGTTTTTTATTTAAAGCACAACCCACTCCGGCTTTCCATCATATTGTGCACTAAACATTGCTCAAAAAAACTGCAGAAGTCATCTTACACCCACCCGATATAGCCTGAAAATACTCTTCAAACACGTTCAGCACAAAGACATCATAAACATTACCGATTGATGTCAAACAGCTGAGACATTTCACCTGTACTCACATAAAACCCCGAGCAGATTTTTTCAGTAGAGAATCATCATTACGGGACAAATTGAGAGCTTTTCTGCCAGGAAATGGACTCTTGTATATGCCGTGTGACTGGAGATGTCAGGAGATGCGAACGCTTGTGTTTTTGGTGGCATAGATGCATTGAGCTGCATGTGTTCTGGCACACGCTGGTTCACAGTTAGCCAGCAGTCTGTGTTTACACCGCAGTCCCACTGTCTGCCATATACTCGTCTTTTACACTTACAAACCAGATCGCAATGTTTCACACAAGCACAGAGCTGTTAGACTGCAACATAATGCTTTTCTTACTTAGAGTTTTCGTCTAGTTTCTAATCCAAATATCTCACAATTCTTAAATCAAGAAGCTTTTCTAGACAAGTTAAAAATTAATTGTTTTGTTTTCGGAATAAGTCAAAATGACTTGAGTTGTTGATTAGTAAGAACACTGATTATGATGCAGTTCCTAGAGAAACAGAATAATAAATGAGAAAACAGTGGGCGTGGCCTGTTTTTTCTACTGTGAGCTGATTGGCGAATGCAAGCATTTCATTCAGAAAGATCTGGAAAAGGGTTTGAGGAGAGTTATCAGACTCCTCCTCCTCAACATTTCTGTTTGATGTCATAACTGACAGTAGGAGGGGGCGTGGTTAAGTATGTTAGCCCCACCCATTACCTCAGACAGACCTAATCTCAGAAATTGAACTGAAAAACAGGAAGTGGATTTTTACACGTTAATTTTAGATTACAAGAGCAAACTATTTTTGTAATACCTGCACAGATGAATTGTTCACCACAAAACTAGCAATGTGCGCTAACAAAATCATACGGTTAGCTTTGAGTTCATGTGTACTTTAAAACCAGGGAAATAATCAGCCAGTCAAGTGAAGCGCTTCCTCTCATAATGTCACGTTTCTCTGTTTCATGAATGTCAAGCGGATGCACAAATCTCCAGAGTTTAGATCAGCTTTTAGAGTGAGGGGTCAAAGGTGCATCACTGCAGCTGCAGGCCTGTGTGTGTGTGTGTGTGTGTGTATGTGTGTGTATGTTTGCATGTATGGTAGTTTGTATGTATGAGTGTGTCTCTTTGTTAGTGTGTGTCTGTTAGCCTGTGTGTTTTTTGTGTAAAAAACGCATGTGTGTGTGTCAGTGTCTGTGTATGCATCTATGCACGTGTGTGTGTGTATGTATGTGCGTGCGTGTGTGCGCGTGCGACTCGTGCGGGCATGTGTGTGGGTCTGTATGTATGTATGTGTGTATGTGTATGCATGAGTGTGTCTCTTTGTTAGTGTGTGTCTGTTAGCCTGTGTGTTTTTTGTGTAAAAAACGCTTGTGTGTGTGTGCGTGTGTGTGTATATGTATGTGCGTGCGTGTGTGCGCGTGCGCGTGCGTGCGTGCATGTGTGTGGGTCTGTATGTATGTTTGTGTGTATGTGTATGTATGAGTGTGTCTCATTGTTAGTGTGTGCCTGTGTGTTTTTCTTTTGTGTGTGTGTGTATGCATCTATGCGCACATGCCTTTGTGTATATATACGAGTGTGTCCCTTTGTTAGTGTGTGTTTCTGTTTGCCTGTATTTTTGTCTGTGTGTGTGTGTGTGTGTGTGTGTGTCTCTGTCTGTGTGCCTGTGTGTTTTTCTTTTGTGTGTGTGTGTGTGTGTGTGTGTGTGTGTGTGTGTGTGTGTGTGTGTGTGTGTATGCATCTATGTGCACATGCGTGTGTGTGTATACACTAGTGTGTCCTTTTGTTAGTGTGTGTCTGTTTGCCTGTGTGTTTTCTCTATGTATCCATTAGTGTGTGTGTGTGTATGTTAGTGTCTGTGTATGCATCTATGCGTGTGTGTATGTATGTATTAGTGTGTCTCTTTGTTAGTTTTTTAGTGTTATTGTCTGTGTATATGTGTGAGTGTATGTACAGATGTGTGTGTTAGTGTGTGTATGTATCTATGTAAGTATGTATGTGTGTGTTAGTGTCTGTGTTAAGTATGTGTGTGACTGTGTCTATGTGTATGTGACTGTGTATTTGCTGTGCGTATGTGTGTTGCGTACATGCATGACTATGGCACACACACACACACACACACACACACACACACACACACATACACTAGAGTGTGATTATCCTGCATCTGCTTCATCTCACTCAGAGTTTGTTTTAAGTGCTGGATTGTTGAAGCTGAGTCTGGATCAGTTTTTCGGTGTGTGTTTAATATCCTGCAGCTCTGATAAACGGCTCTTCTCCTGAGAGAGAGAGTGAATCATGGCTAGCGTGTCAGTGCGCTGCTTAAGTCTGCTGTTATGATTATGTTGGCTTGAAACAATATTTTGGCCTTTTCTCTTTGATTTCACTCAGATTTACTGTTGTGTATTTCTTCTTCACTGCAGGACGGACTCAGAAGGCTCTCCGGGAACGAGTACATCTTCTCCAAAAGTGCTTTACAAAGTAGGTTCATTGTCATTATGGGCAATTGTGTGTAGAATTTCGAGGAAATAAATGAATTTAATCCATTTTTGAATAAGGCTTTAAAATAAAAAGTCAAGCGCTAGGAATACTTTCCAGATGCCAGACCTTTTTCTTGTCTGCTGCATGGAGGGTGCCATAGCGACCAGCGTCTTCCGGCAGAATGTTTAGAACTTCCGTTTACAGCGTTTACAACCGGTAATTTGCGCTCCGAAAATGGGTTTCGTTAGCACTTTGAGTAGATTACGGAGTGTTTTTGTGACACACAACTTTAAAAGGTGCGTGTTAAAGCCGTTATAATCTGTCAGATCTGTGGTTCAAGCGCGAGAGAAAAACGTTCTCCTATTTAACGTGTCTGCCGTCCGAAATACAGTGTGTGTGTGTGTGTGTGTTCCCGGCCTGTTAGCTGACACACACACAAACACACACACGCAATATTTCAGTGCATTACAGAGCACACCAGTTTACTGGCATGAAGCTTAACAGGTGTGTAAGTCATGCAATTTACAAAAATGACCAATAAATGTGCGTTATTGATACTGTGCTGGCTGGTTTGCTGTTCATTCTAATCGCGAGCCGTTTGTTTCATTTCGTGTGTAGTATTTACCACGGTTTGGGTTTTTCTGTCATTTCAAAATGTCTCTTTATTTTCACTTTGTCACAGTTATTAAATCAGTGTGTTAGTGGGACAGAACAGGCTACGTGTGTGTGTCAAACATTTTGGTGAATTAAATTTGTTTAGGTTGGTCTTTAGCGATGACGAGGCTTGATTTAAATGGTACAAGATGCCGTCTGACAACGAGGAGAAAATGCTTCACAGCAGTTGTTTTCCATCCAATTAGATCGCATTTTTTTAATGAGTCCAGGAGATGGCACTGATCGACAACAGTATTAGTTCAAAGAGGAGAAAAGCAGGGAAAATAGATTAAGGGCATTTGCTATTTACATGACGGACTTTGTAAGTGGAAAAATTGAGCATTTCACTAGCAAGAAAACAGTTAAACAGAGCATCAACAGCGCGAGAATGAGAGATAAGGTCTTCTCATTATTTACTTTCACTTTCGCTCTCGTGGATAGGGAAACATGTTGTACGCACAGACATCTATTAGCCTATACATAATAAATTTAGTTTGTTTGGCGCAAAGATTTGTTTCAAAACTATTTCTAAATTCAGTTCTAGTTTCCAGCAAACAAATAAATGAACAATAATAATGAAGTGTGCTCAAAACTGAGTTATATCCAACTACACAGGCTGTGCCCCATATATTCTAAAACCTGACAGGTGGGCAAAACTAAGCTTGTTTTTAATAAAACAAATATAAATATGCATATAATAAATAATACTGCTAATAATAATAATAACATTATACAAAAGCACATTGACATGAATTAACTAAAAAAGAAATGAATGCATGGAGGCAGTGGTTTTTATATTTATGTAGGCTAGAAAATAATATTTTTTGTAATATTTTAATCCTTTATATTTATAGCCTATATAAATATCCTTATTATATCCTATATATATATATCATTAAAATTTTAATTATTTTTTATTTGTAAAGATATTTGCATATTGCTGTACCCCTTTGTGTATTAAGCAATGTGTTAGTAAGGTGCACAATTAACGCACTCTGAGCTGGACTATAGATCTGATTTGTGCCTCAACACACCTCTTTTTTTTACCAGAATGCCTATGGGCGCACATATGAGCACAAATACATTTGCTATTTAAACAGCGTGGTGCAAAACGTCAAAATGACTCTTGCGCCAAGTGGAAACTAGCAAACAACAATTGCGTCACACCTTGTGCCGCATTGCCCCGGGTGTATGAAAGGGCCCTAAAACTATGGCTGCGTCCGAAACCGCCTACTACTCAGTAGGTACTGCATTTGAATGTAAACATACTACTCGGCCATTAGATAAGTGCGTTCTATACAGTATGATTGTGAAAAGTATGAATGGAATTCGGACGTACTACATCTGCCATTTTGTCATGGTCACGCGACCTACCTGCGTCATTTGCGTCTTCACTCCCATTCATGAATTCGCTCGCGGGGCATCATGGGATAGCGCAGCATGCATGGGATGCGCACTCCAGAATCTCGCCGGAAGTAGTAAGTCATCCAGGTACTTCTCGCATACTGATTTTCGAATTCTATGAATTCGGACATACTACTCGGCTCTCATACTAATTTTAGTGTACTATATAGACCTTTTTCTTGCAACACAAAATTACCCATTATGCTTTGCGTGTATGCGCAAGGAGAATGCGAAGAACTTCCGGTCGGCAGCTGATGCGTGTAAACAGTCACATTTGGACAGCTTTGAGACGATAGTTTTAATCTATTTTACCTGCTTTTATCCTCTTTGAACTAATACTGTTGTCCATCAGCACCATCTCCTGGACTCATTACTTAAAGAAATGCGATCTAATAGGATGGAAAGCTGCTGTGAGGCATTTTCCCCTCTTTGTCAAACGGCATCTTCTGCAGTTTAAATGAAGCCTTGTCATCGCTAAAGACAACATTTTCTCTTTATTTCAAATATATAACCAGCCCAAACAAATGTAATTCACCAAAATGTTTGACACACACACGTAGCCTGTACTGTGCCACTGACACACTGATTTAATAACTGTGACAAAGTGAAAATATAGGCTAGTGTCATTTCGAAATGACAGAAAAACACAAACCGTGGTAAAAACAACACACGAAATAAAACACAAACGGCTCGCGATTAGAATGAACAGCAAATCAGCCAACAGAGGATCAGTAACAGACTTTTATTGGTCGTTTTTGTAAATTGCACGACTTTTATAAGTCACCTGTTAAGTTTCATGCCAGTACTCTGGTTTGCTCTCTCTCTCTCTCTCTCTCTCTCTCTCTGTGTGCGTGTGTGTTAAAGAGCCGCCGAGCTAACAGCTGACAGGCCGGGATCACACACACACACACACACACACACACACACACACACACTGTACGTTATTTCTGACGGCAGACACGTGAACTAGGAGAACGTTTTTCTGCTATTTCTGACGCGCTTGAACCACATGTGACAGATTATAACGGCTTTAACACACATTTCTAAGTTGTGTGTCACAAAAACACTCTGTTATCCATTAAAAACGTTATTGAAACCCATTTTCGGAGCGCAAATTACCAGTTGTACACGCTGTAAACGGAAGTTTTTAGCATTATGCCGGAAGACGCTAGTCGCTATGGCGCCCTCCATGCAGCAGCCATGAAAAAGGTCTATAGTATGGAAGTATGCGGTTTCGGACGCAGCCTATAATTTCAAAACTGTCCAAATGTTATGTGACTGTTTATACGATCATCTGCTGACGGGAAGTTCTTAGCATTCTCCTTGCACATACACAAAGAGCATAATGGGTAATTTTGCGTTCTAAGAAAAAGGTCTAGAAATACACACGTTTTTTTTTTTTTTTTTACCATGCTGCCAAGTATTACATTATTAATGATGGGTATTAATAATTCAAAATGACATGATAATTAATAAATTAAACAAAAATATCATGTGATTGTCAGACATGCCAAAAATTACAAAATATTACATGCTCATTCATTTATTCATTTCCTTTCGGCTTAGTCCCTGATTAATTAGGGTTTGCCACAGCGGAATGAACTGCCATATTACATGTTATGTAATGTAACACACAATTTCTAAAAAAAAAAAAACAAGACAATTAACGTTTAATTTCTCCTGTAATTGTCAGACATGAGTCAGAGTCAGCTGGGTGTGCCCGTCCCGCTGAATGACATCCCGCCGTCCATCGCAGAGCTGCTGAATGAAGAGGAGCAGTGGGAGTTCAACATCCTGGAGCTGGAGGCAGCCACACACAAGAGGTACCAACAGGACATCAGCATTTCTTTCATTTCATTGTCTGAAATGTAGTATTAACGTGTGTGTGTGTGTGTGTGTGTGTGTGTGTGTGTGTGTGTGCGTGCGTGCGTGCGTGCGTGCGTGTGTGTGTGTGTGCGCATGTAGGCCACTGTCGTACCTGGGTCTGAAGATCTTCTCTGCGTTTGGCGTGTGCGAGTTTCTGAACTGCTCCGAGTCCACGCTGCGCTTGTGGCTGCAGGTGATCGAGACCAACTATCACTCCTCAAACTCCTACCATAACTCCACACACGCCGCTGACGTGCTGCACGCCACCGCTTACTTCCTGCGCAAGGAGAGAGTCAAGGTAAACTCACACAAAGCCTTTTTAAAGGTCCCGTCCAGTGCTTTGAAATGTGCATTTTCTGTTCAACGTTTGACATAATCTCAATTGAAACATGAGGAGAGGGTGGGACATAGAGATAGAGAAGCGTCTTGAAGGGGGTAGGGCATGTTAGATTCTAGAGAGCATTTGATTGGTCAAGATATGATGAGAACCTGAAGTATGAGGAGATGTAAAAAGGTCGTTGATCCATTTAGGCGGAAGTGACAAACTGCAAGCTCTGGATGTTTATGTCAGTTTTTTAGTTTCTAAACGTGAATGTTGTCACTGTTCTGAAGCGCACAAGATTATAGATATTCTTAAAACTACCAGACTGAAACTAACTTTATTTTTGTTTCATGGGATCTTTAACACGGACTGATGATTCCACACAGTTGCCATAAAATTGTGAATAAAGCATGTTCTGGGATTGATTCTGGTATTGTTTCAGGATTGGGTTTTTTTTTTTACCAATTTTTTTCAGACCATTTTGAATATTAATGACTTCACACTGTGCCTCAACCTTTGGTACTTTTGCCAGACGTGTACCCTTGTGCATCGAATCTCAATCTTCTCAACCTTCTCAATCTGGAAAATTATGTATTTTATAATGCATGTATTCTAGTTCCAGCAGATTCTGTCAATCTGCTGTGGAGCATTCTCCTCAGGATGCCCAAAAGCTCAGGAGAGGATGGTATCTTTAGCTGAACAGTACTGTCTGTGCTCCTTTCTTTCTTTCTTTCTTTCTTTTTCTTTTTTTCTTTCGTTTTCTTTTGTTCTATTGTTCATTTGTTCGTTCTATCTTTTTCTTTCTTTCATTCGTTCTGTTGTTCGTTCGTTCTGTTGTTTGTTCGTTCTTTTGTTCTTTCTTTCTTTCGTTCTATCGTTCGTTCGTTCGTCCTTTATTTTTGTTCTTTTTTCAGTTCTATCGTTTGTTCTTTCTTTCGTCTGTTCTTTCTGTTTTATTCATACTTTCATGTGTTCTTTCTGTCTTTCTTTTGTTCTTTTGTTTATTCTTTCTTTTGTTTGTTCATTTGTTTATTCTGTCATTCTTTCTTTTGTTCTTTCTTTTGTTCTTTCTTTTTTCTTTCTTTTTTTTACTTTTGTTCTTTGTTTCTTTTTTGTTCTTTCTTTCTTTCGTTTGTTCTTGCTTTCATTCGTTCGTTCTTTCTTGTTGTTTCTTTCTTACCTTTGTTCTTTCTTTTCTTTCTTTCTTTTGTTTGTTCTTACTTTCATCCACTCATTCTTTCTTTTGTTCTCTTTCTTTTTTTGTTCTTTCTTTCTTTCATTCGTTCGTTCTTTCTTTTGTTCTTTCATTTGTTGGTTCTTGTTCTTTCTTTCTTTTGTTAGTTCGTTCTTTCATTCATTCGTTTGTTCATCGTTTTTTCCTTCATTGGTTCATTCTTTCATTCTTTTGTTTGTTCATTTGTTTGTTCTTTCATTTGTTCTTCCATTTGTTCTTTCATTTGTTCTTTTGTTAATTCTTTTTCTCATTATTTTGTTTGTTCGCTCACTCGTTTGTTTGTTTGTTTGTTTGTTTGTTTGTTCGTTTGTTATTTTTTTCTTTTGTTTGTTCGTTCTTTTGTTCTTTCTTTCATTCTTTCATTCTTTCGTTTGTTCTTTCATTCTTTCTTTTGTCTGTTCTTTTTTTCTTTTGTTCTTTCTTTCATTCCTTTGTTCTTTTTTACTTTTTTGTTTCTTTCTTTTGTTTGTTCATTCTTTCGCTCGTTCTTTCGTTCATTCTTTCTTTCGTTCATTCTTTCTTTCGTTCTTTTGTTAGTTTACTCGCTTGCTCGCTCGTTGTTCGTTCTTTTTTCTTTCATTCATTTCTTTTTTCTTTCTTGCTTTTTTTTCTCTCTTATTGAGTTTGCGTGTACTCTAAGTTCATGTGTGATTGCAAAACTAGTGAAATGGGCATCATGCTTTGCTTTAACCCTAAAGCCTGAAATGCAAGTAGGGACAGTCTATATATGCAATAGCATGTCGCAGAATTGTTGTTATCCCTATAATAGTATATGCAATATACGTGTCGCAGACATTTATTTAATGTATTGATTGTTTATCTAAATTTGACCAATTAGACGGGGCCTTACTATCTGAGCTCTTCATTCATTCAAAGTGTTTAAAAGACCTATAGGATATAAATATAAAAGATTAAAATATTACAAAACATATTATTTTCTACCCTACATAAATATAAAATCCAGACTTTCATGCCTTCTTCATCTCGGGGGGCTTTTTAAATTTATTCATAACAATTTGCTTTTGTATATTGTTATCGTTATTGGCAGTATTATTTATTATATGCATATTTATATTTGTTTTATTAAAAACAAGCTTAAATTTGCCCACCTGTCAGGTTTTAGACCATATGGGGCACAGCATGTGTATTTGGATATAACCCAGTTTTTTTTAACACACTTCATTATTATTGTTCATTTATTCGTTTGCTGGAAATTAGAACTGAATTTAGAAATAGGTTTGAAACATATATTTGTGCTTGACATGCAAAATAAATTATTTATAGGCTAATGGATGTCTGTGCATACAAGGTTTCCCTATCCACAAGGGCGAAAGTGAAAGTAGATAATGAGAAGGGCTTATCTCTCATTCTCGCGCTGTAGATGCTCTGTTTAACTGTTTTCTTGCTAGTGAAATGCTCAGTTTTTGCATTTACAAAGTCCGTCATTTAAATAGCAAATGCGCTATGGCACAACGCAACTTAAAGGGAATGGGAGATGAGACTCTGATTGGTTTATTCTCAAAACACACCTATAACTCATTAAGAAAATAAACTCAACCCTTTTAGACCATGCGCCACGGCGAAAAGCTGATTTTTCCATCCTTAAATTAGCAAAAGTGGATTCTGACACGCACTAACTACTTTTGCGCTCTGCGCTTTGCACTTTGTGCATGGATCGTCAAAATAGAGCCCTAAATGTTTGCACCTTGACACCGTTTTTTTATCTGAATTAGAATTAATTAGATTAGAAATAGTCTTTTACCTGTTTATTTTAATGTCATTAAATTAATCATTAATTTCGAAAACAGCTAATAAAAATAAAATTTTTTAAGGGAATCTTATATTATACGAAAAATCATTATTGCAATACTTAACAATAGTATCACAAGTGAAAAAGCTTTTCTGTTATTGACTAAATCATTGCCATGTAAGCGTTGTCTCAGGCATGATGCGAGGTGATGCAGTTCAAATATTATTTACAAACATTAATCTGTGCTGTGTTTACAGGCCAGTCTTGACCAGCTAGATGAAGTTGCCGCTCTGTTAGCTGCGACAGTTCATGACGTGGATCATCCGGGCCGCACAAACTCATTCCTGTGCAACGCAGGCAGTGAATTGGCCATTCTGTACAACGATACAGCCGTACTGGAGAGTCACCATGCTGCTCTCGCCTTCCAGCTCACCGTACGGGACAGCAAGTGCAACATCTTCAAGAACATGGAAAGGTACCAGTGCCTGCTTAAAATGTCACTGTTGTGCTCAATAAAGGCTCCCCAATATATACAAATGAATACATACTAGCACTTGAAGAAAAATATTATGCTAGGTCCTGAAAAATAAGTTGCATGAAAATAGACTAGTACAGTTTATATATTGAATGTTAAAATGACCTGCCATTGTGGAATCAGCATTGCCCTCTGAGTTTCCGAATAGGTTTGTTTTCACATCCAGTCTCTCTAAACCCTACCTTCCAAAAGCCTACTATGCACTGATTGGTCAGATGCTCCAGTCTGTTTTGATTGGCTGAAACCAAGCACTTATTACCATATAAGAATATCAGTTCGTCTTCAACACTTGTAAACACAGTGATATAAACGGTAACAGTCGTGTACGTTTTAATGATATTTTTTATTTTGTACTAACCTCTTTCAACCTCTCAATATCCAGGACTCAGTTTCGGACGCTGCGGCAGGCCATAATCGACATGGTATTGGCAACAGAAATGACTCGACACTTCGAACACGTCAATAAGTTCGTCAACAGCATCAACAAACCCATGAGTGCCATAGAAGAGACAAGTTCCAATGTAAGACACTTCACGCGTTACTGTTTTTCCATACTGTGTGTACAGTTGAAGTCAGAATTATTAGCCCTCCTGTGATTTAGTTTTTTCTTTTTCAAAAATTTCCCAAACGATAACCATTATTATACAATGACTTGCCTAATTAAACCAGTTAAGCCTTTAAATGTCCCTTTAACTGAATACTAGTATCTTGAAAAATATCTAGTAAAATATTATGTACTGTCATCATGGCAAAGATAAAAGAAATCAGCTGTTAAAAATGAGTTATTAAAACTTTTTGTTTATAAATGTGTTAAAGAAATCTCTCTATTAAACAGAAATTGGAAAAAAAATGCACAGGGGGCTAATAATTCTGACTTCAACTGTACGTACAAATGAGTGTCGTCTGTAAGCAATGCTGATCTCTATGTGAAACAGAGTGAAGGCAGTGATTGTGAGGGTCAGGCCAGTATTCGTAACTCTCCTGAGAATCGGCTACTGATTAAACGAATGCTGATTAAATGTGCGGATGTGGCCAATCCCTGTCGACCGCTGGAGCTCTGCATTGAATGGGCCGGTCGCATTTCAGAGGAGTATTTCGCTCAGGTAAACAAGTTCATACATACAGTATATGAAGTCCTCGTGCATATCCTGACAATGTCTTTTTAATGTCAATGAACCCCTTTCACACAGTGATACCGGTGAATATCCGGAACGACTTTACCGGTACATTCAAAAAAGCGCTGTTCACACAGGCACAGACTTTTTTCGGAAAAGACAGTTCACACATTAATTCCAAAATACCGGTAAATTCTGACGTCATTAACTAGAACCAACCTCTAAACGGCTTTTGTTGACGGTTGATGGTACATAATATGTGTGTGTGCTGGCGCTCACCAGCTGCTTCACGTGCACACGTGTCAAGCAACTGAAGCAAAGCTTGAAGGTAAACAAACAGCGGTTAATCATAAGCTTTTTATTGATCATTTTTTCCATGGCATTAAGGCATTAATGGCATTAAGACGGAACATAGAAACTTTATCTGACTAACGTCTAGAAGCTAAATGTGTCTGGAAAAATAATCAAAGGCTTTTTTTTTATAAACAGCGCAAATGTGAATGCGTCTGACTGTTCTGATTTGCTGGAGTAGATGTTCTAATCGGGAACATGCTCTTTCTAGCAATTTTCCTTCAGCATTCACACCGAGCAGCATTCCGGCGTATTACCGGTAGTTTTACAACTTATCTTTTCGGAAAATTGCCCAAATGAATTTACCGATGCTTTCAAAAAGGGCCTGTTCACACATGATCCCTGTCTGGAAAATTAACGGTAGTTATCCGGAAAGGTCTGTATATGTGAAAGGGGTAAATGTCTTTTCATTGACTTTTATTGACATTTAACATGACTTATAATGTTCAGTAGTAGTTAATGTATGTAGTAGTTTATGTTATATTATATTATATTATATTATGTTATATTATGTTATATTATATTATGTTATATTACATTATTCATTTTTCATAATATATCTTAATATATATATATTTATAATATATATATATTTATAATACTTAATATATATCTTATAATATATATAAATATTTATTTGGATGGATGGATGAATGGATGGTTGTTTGGATGAATGGATAGTTGGATGGATGGATGGTTGGATAGATAGATAGATAGATAGATAGATAGATAGATAGATAGATAGATAGATAGATAGATAGATAGATAGATAGATAGATAGATAGATAGATAGATAGATAGATAGATAGATAGATAGATAGATAGATAGATAGATAGATAGATAGATAGATAGATAGATAGATAGATAGTATAATATTAGTAATATTTATATTTTAGTATATAGATAGTATTATATTTGGTATAAAATACTAAATTAATTATTATTTATTAAAGTAAGTGCTGAGACTAAAATCATAATCGTATTATTTCACATTATAGTTATTTCTTAATATTGTTACAAAAACTTTATTTTATTCATTCATTCATTTTCTTGTCGGCTTAGTCCCTTTATTAATCCGGGGTCGCCACAGCGAAATGAACCGCCAACTTATCCAGCAAGTTTTTACGCAGCGGATGCCCTTCCAGCCGCAACCCATCTCTGGGAAACATCCACACACATACACACACACACTCTTACACTACGGACAATTTAGTCTACCCATTTCACCTGTACCGCATGTCTTTGGACTGTGGGGGAAACCGGAGCATCCGGAGGAAACCCACACGAAGGCAGGGAGAAGATGCAAACTCCACACAGAAACGCCAACTGAGACGAGGTTCGAACCAGCGACTCAGCGACCTTCTTGCTTTGAGGCGCCAGCACTACCTACTGCGCCACTGCCTCGCCAACTTTATTTTAGATAACGCATAATAAATCCTAAGATATAGATAGATATTGCAAAATAAATATTTTATTAAGGCATTTTTAAATAAAACAAGAGATTGTTCTACATTTTTGTGTGATAATGCACAAAACTGAATCGTTCATTTAAAAAAAAAAAAAAGTCTCATAATTTTTTTTTGTCAATAAATTCCAAAAAAAGTTTTTGTTAATTATTTGTTGTCCTTTCTTTCCTCAATCATTTGCTTTCTGTGTCTGTGATGTCTTGGTTTTATTAGACTGATGAAGAGAAAAGACAGGGTTTGCCGGTTGTCATGCCAGTGTTTGACCGGAACACCTGCAGCATTCCTAAATCCCAGATCTCCTTCATCGACTATTTCATCACAGACATGTTTGATGCATGGGATGGTAAATATGCACACTACACACACACGTACAAGTTCAGAGGTTTTATTTCAAAAACAAACATAACAAAATCCAGTGTATTAATCACAGAGACTGCAGTTTGACATGCTAATAAAGTAGATAGATAGTTAGACAGAAAGACAGACAAAGATAGATAAGTAGATGGATGGATGGATGGATGGATGGATGGATGGACGGACGGACGGACAGAGGGACGGATGGACAGACAGACAGATAAATAGATAAATGGATGGATGGACGGACTGACAGATAGATCTGTGGATAGATAGATAAATAGATAGATAGACGGACAGACGAACGGATGGACTGACAGATAGATAGATAGATAGATAGATAGATAGATAGATAGATAGATAGATAGATAGATAGATAGATAGATAGATAGATAGATAGATAGATAGATAGATAGATAGATAGATAGATAGATAGATAGATAGATAGATCGATGGATGGATCGATGGATGGATGGACGGACAGATAGATAGATCTGTGGATAGACAGATAAATAGATAGATGGATGGATGGATGGATGGATGGATGGATAGAGGGATGGATGGACGAACAGATAGATATATATGGATGGATGGATGGATGGATGGATGGATGGATGGATGGATGAATGGATGGATGGATAAACGGATGGATAAATGGATGGATGGACAGATCTGTAGATAGATATATTTATTAGCTCCCCTGTATATTTACTCTAACTAAAATAAAACAAGACTATTATAGTAAAACTGTGAAAAATTCCTCGCTCTGTTAAATATTGTTTGAGCAATACTTGAAAAAGAAAAAAAAGGAGGGCTGTAATAAGCCTCAAACACTAAGGGGCAAAAGATCGTTCTGTTTGTGTGTCTCTTTGAGTGGGAGAGCGAATATATATTTTCCCAGGCGTCTCCTGACACATCTGATTCTCCTAAGCGAGATCAAACGCTCCATTAGCTGCAGAAGATGTTGGACCGGAGGGCTTGAGATCCAGGCTTGTGTTAGATTGCTGAGAGGTTGTGATCATGTTATCTGGAGGTTGAGCCGACTGTGGCGAGCTTTGGAAACTTGAGGTTGTGTGTTTCCCACTGAGCCAGACCCTAGAGAGTAAACCTGCTCACTGTCAACACACAACACTCGTGATGTCACGGAAACTTCAGACATACTGGAGAGAGTGCGAGTGTGTGTGAGAGTAAGAGAGGGAGAAGGAATGTGTATCTGCCTGTGTGTGTGTGTGTGTGTGTGTGTGTGTGTGTGTGTGTGTGTGTGTGTGTGTGTGTGTGTGTGTGTGTGTGTGTGTGTGTGTGTGTGTGTGTGTGAGTGCGTGCGTGCGTGCGTGCGTGTGCGTGCGTGTGTGTGTGTGTGCGTGCGTGTGTGTGCGTGCGTGTGTGTGTGCGCGAGTGTGTGCGTGTGTGTGTGTGTGTGCGCGAGTGTGTGCGTGTGTGTGTGTGTGTCTTTGATTTCCGTAGTCTGAGGTCAGGATGCAGTGAAGCAGAATCTCTTGAGCTCTCTGCAGATTTAGTTCCCAAGGTCACGATCGGGTCAGTTTATCATAGAGGAGCTGTGTTTGGTGTGTGTTAGTATGCGTGTTTGTGTGAGTGTGTATGAGAGTGTGTCTGTGTGTGTGTACATTTAAATGTTTGAGATTGTGTACGTGTGTGTTTGTGTGTTATGTGCACATTTGTGTTAGTGTATGTCTGTTTGTGGATGTGAGGGTCTGTGAATTGTGATTGCATGTGAATTGTGTGTGTGTGTACTTTATTGTGCATGTGTTTGTCTGTTTCTTTCTGTCTGTCTGTCTGTCTGTCTGTCTGTCTGTCTGTCTGTCTGTCTGTCTGTCTGTCTGTCTGTCTGTATAAATGTGTATGTGTGTTTTTGTGTGTGCGCCTCTTATTTTGCCTACATTGCAGAGACCAAAAAGAGATATGTTTTAATCCCCATGAGGAAAATGGCTCATAAATTCTCAGACAGAATGAAGTTCTATTAAAATGTAAAAATGCAGATTGTTTCCTGTGAGGATTGGTTTAGGGGTAGGGTTGGGTTGGGTTGGGTTGGGTTAGGCGTAGGGCTGGACAATAATGGAAAAAAATTATCATGATATCATGTTTCATGTCATTCAATATCGAAAATTATTGAATATTTTTAATATAACATTTTGGGTTTTTTTTGTTTGTTTTTTACACTACATCACTAAGGCAAATTGTTTTATTAGTGAAAAAAAATTGTTAAACTTAATATCTGATCTCTTTATAATAAAATAAACATGGGTTAACAGGGTTTCCGCGGGGTCTTAAAAAGTCTAAAATTTAAAAATCTAAATTTAAGTCTTAAATTTGCTGTTCTAGGTCTTAAATATTTTGCACAGGTCTTATTTTTCCGATGTCCATGTGACGCTACATCTAACACTCATTTTAGATGCTTTCGTGATGTTGTAGTTCTTTATTTCACTAGTCAATTGTAATTTGCGGTATTACAACTACAAATAAGACCAGCATGCACTAGCCTCAGTACGCGCGGCTAATGTGACGTCATTGCTGTGTTTGCGGAGGTTCGCCTTGGGTGCGCGCGTCATGATTTCGGCTGGCGGAGCTCACGAGATGTTTTGAGACTCGCGTGAACAGTTAGCGCAGCGCCGCGTTTTATTTGAGTTGAATATGAAACACTTTGAAGAGATTTTGTCTAAAACAGGTACGACAGGTACGACAAGTGATGCATCATTTAGATTAAATAAAATTTGATTTGAAAATATCTTGAATGGTTATAAAAATCTTTATAATAAATTATAAAAATTATTAAAAATTATTATTTTAAATGATATTAATGATATGACCTACAGTACTTCAGGAAACTTTCCACTTCTCTGTTTATCCGTCTGATTTTACCGTCTGTTTCTTTTGACCGCCCCCTGTCATTTAAAAGAACATCTCATTGGTGAATGTGTCAAGCCTCAAAGCCTCGTCAGTTTCTTGAGGTGCCTGATGCGCTGCCAGGCGAAAGTATAAATCAGCCTTAAGATGTTTGTTTGTTTTTTTGTTTTTGTACTATTTGTAGTTCAATGGTGCATCTAACCTGTATTTAGTACTGTTCAATTTGAATACATTTATCTTACCTCAAATTTTGTGATTTTTTTTTATTTTTTGCATTTTCTCTTTGTGCATGCATGTTTTTGATATTGCGATATAGATATTTATGTGGTCTTAAATTAAATTCTTAATGGTCTTAAAAAGTCTTAAATTTGACATTATGATATCTGCAGAAACCCAGGCTAAAGAGACTCTTAAACATTATAAATAAAATATTACAATGTGTGTGCAATGGTAAAGGCTAAAAACATGAATAATCAAAGTGTGATTAATAACGATAGTGTTAACCTCAAACTCTGTTACCAAAACAAATTATTATAATCAAATCTGAGCTTTCCATTAAAGGAACTGACCATCAAAATTCAAATACATACTGCAACATTAAAAATTGTGAATTTGAATGACCATTTCACCCCCTATGCTAAACAATCTTTCAGGGGTGCGATTCCAAAAACCATCGTTAGTCAATTAAGGTCGCAAGTTCCGTCGTTACAAACATAGTTTGTTGACTTGGTGTTTCCCAAAGCCATTGTTTCCAAAAATTCCTTGCTCTGTTAAACACCAAAAAAAATAAATAAATAAAAAAATCACAGGAGGGTGAATCATTTTGACATCAACTGTACATGCTGTATATCAAGTTTATTTTTTAGATTAATTTCTCTCTGTTTCTCTTTCTCAGCCTTTGCCAGTTTGCCAGGTCTGATGGAGCATTTGGCAGAGAACTACAAATACTGGAAGAACTTGGATGAGATGAAATGTAAAAGCCTTCGGCCTCCACCTCCTCCATGACCCTTTCGACGCCCTTACCCCTGAGGTCAAAGGTCAGAGGTTACGCCGTGAATGTAGCATCTCTGTCAGGCCTCCAGGTTTCCGTCCACTGAACACAGATCAGCAGCCCTGTTTCCACATCTAGCGACAATCGCCCGGTAACAAGGGTAAAACACAAACAAATGACAAAACGAATGCACTTTATCAGCATACAGTCCTCTTCCAGCATCTTTCACTTACGTCTCTTCTCTTTTAAAAAAATACTCAGCTGTTTTTAATGATTTATGGACAATTATTTTTGTAATGTCTGACATGAGAAGATAAAGACTGATCTTTGACCGGTAGAGGACTGTATATGTTTTACACGCTCAACTATGGGATTTAGAGTGGGACTGACATGTGAGCTATACATGTGTATACATTAACAGATACGTGGATCACAGATCCAAATGCCAAAGGGCTTTATTTGGACTTTGAAGCAGATATAAGGAGGACAAAAAACTTTGGAAACCACAAAGGAGCCAATAGTGAGCCCTGAGGCACTCCCTTCAGTCTCGCCTTTATTCATTTGATAAGATTCAAATTTTGTGGACAGACTCAAATGTCAAGTTGCCAAACTGAAAGAACTGAAGATGCATTTGCATTCGGATGATGAATCGGTGTTGACCAGCACCGAGCGCAATTCAGTGTGCGAGAATGTAAAAACGACGGATCAGCCTGCTGCGGGCCGTCATTATTCCGGCACTTTCTGTATCAGAACGACTCAAGCCTTTCTCAGACTCCAAGGACTGGTAAATAATGATCAATAATTTTGATATAAATAGCCAATAATAACAAAGAATATATTTCTCTGAAACACTGTATATCCCGACACATACTGTAATAACGTGAATCGTGATAATGCGTGTCTGTGTAAGGGTAGAGCGGGTGTGTGTGTGTGCTTAGTGATGAATGTATACACATTTTACACATTAACATTCCTACTTCACGCAAAAGTCCGTATGGATGCAACATTCCCTTAAAAAAGAAACAAAGATAAGAGTTATCCTCTGTGTGAAACCAAACTCCAGCACAGCCTCATGAAGAGACCACTGAAACTGATGGTGGACTCGCACGTATTACAAGTGTTACATAGGTTTTTTTTTAAGTATTATTTATTTACAAATGAAATCGGCTGTATATCTCGGGTCTAGACACACATCGCAGACAACCTTCGGATGTTTCTGCAAGCCAAAAGCTATCAGGCTCCAAAGGTGCGTTTATAATCAAGCACAATGATGAGTTTTAAACAGATGTTTGGCTGAAGCTATTTCGACTGGAAACTAGTTTAGTATTCTTGAAATCTGTCACTCTGACCGATTGGTGAGACAAAAGATGTTTTTGTTAGGCAAAACTGCAGGAGTCATTTGTTATTTGTGCACCTCATTACAGTTGGACACGCAGCTGAACTGCACTGGCTCGCAGACAGGCTTAGTGGGAATTTATGAAATGTTTGTATTCAGTTGACATTCAGCCTCTTACTCTTTATGTTGTATAGACGCGATCGGAAAGAAGCTCTTGAGGACTTTTAAGATGACGGTTCTAGAACACACCAGCACAATAAAGCAGAGGGTTTTAGCATGTTATACACTGTTCCAAACATTGATATGTATACATAGATGCCACATTCAGCTACTCGTGTTAGACCTTGAGTGTCCACAGACGGATGGGTTACACTTGACAGCATACTGTATGCATATATATGCATACAGTTGAAGTCAGAATTATTAGCCCCCCTGTTTATTTTTCCCCAATTTCTGTTTAACGGAGAGCAGATATTTATTCAACACATTTCTAAACATAATAGTTTTAATAACTCATCTCTAATAACTGATTTATTTTATCTTTGTCATGATGACAGTAAATAATATTTGACAAGACACAGCAAAACTTTTCAAGACACTTCTATACAGCTTATAGTGACATTTAAAGGCTTAACTAGGTTAATTAGGTTAACTAGGCAAGTTATGGTAGTTAGGCAAGTCATTGTATAACGATGGTTTGTTCTGTAGACTATCGAAAAAAATATATAGCTTAAAGGGGCTAATAATTTTAAACTAAAATGGTTCATAAAAAATTTAAAACTGCTTTTATTCTAGCCAAATTAAAACAAATAAGACTTTTTCCAGAAGAAAAAAATATTAACAGACACACTGTGAACATTTTCTTGCTCTGTTAAACATCATTTCAGAAACATTTAAAAAAGAAAAAAAAAATTAAAAGAAGGGCTAATAATTCTGACTTCAACAATATATATATATATAAGAGTGATAAATAAATATTTCTTTAATAAATATTTATTTATTACTCTTTTTATATGTAGTTTTAAATGAAATTATTACTCCAGTCATTATTCCTTTTATTACTATTACCATTAATAATAATAATTGATATTAGAGTGATTTCTGAAGGATCATGTGATTCTGAAGACTGGAGTAATGAAGCTGAAAATTCATCTTTAAAATCACTGGAATAAATGATTAAATTAATTGATAAACTACTTTTGAACAGTTATTTTATAGTGCAATAAATTTTCACAATTTTACAAATTGTACTGTATTTTTGATGAAATAAATGCAGCTTTGGCGAGCAGGAGAAGCTTATTTTAAAACTTTTTAAAAATCCTACGGAACCCAAAATTTTGACTGGTAATGTATAATATACACATATATACTTTCAGTTGCAATGACATCATGACATAGATGGGCTTTTCACATTTGTTATTTTTAGGTTATTCTAAATAGAATCCTGGTTTAGTTTTATAGTTTTCTTACATTTCACATAGTTAGTAATTTACACTGTAATTACAATTAATCATGGAAAATATGAACATGTCACATTATGCATTTCAATGTAAACAAAAACAATGTTTTACAGTTTTAATTTCTATAGCTTCTGAGAATCCAAAAAGAGCCATATATTGATAAAAAATGTCATGAGAGCTTTTTACATGGTTTTAACATAAAGATATGATTGAATTGCCTCTTGTTGCAGTTATAAAATAGAATAATAAAAAGCAGGAAATGTTCATGGGTCTATCACATCACCACATTGAAATGGTGCATAAAAGATAGCGTTTCTCATATTATGCTTATACAGTGCTCATTTGCTGTTAATCTTTGCCTAAATGGATCTTTTGCACTGTAAACAGTCACTGTAATTGATGTCCCACCGATATGTTCAATTTTACCAATAACTGGTATCTGGAATCTGATAACCTTCACTTATACATATTTATTTTCTGAGCCTGATTGCAAAAACAAAAACCAGGAATGATATGATTGCTAATATAGCATGAAGCATAACCACGATGGTTGCTCAGTGGTTAGCACTGTCGCCTAGGCCAGTTGTCATTTCTGTGTGGAGTTTGTATGCTCTTCCTGTGTTGGTGTGGGTTTCCTTCGGGTGCTCCGGTTTACCCCACAGTCCAGAGACATGCGATACAGGTGAATTGGATGAACTAAATTGCCCGTAGTGTATGAGTGTGTGTGTGTGATGGTGTTTCCCAGAACTGGGTTGCAGCTGGGAGAGCATCCGCTGCGTAAAATAGTTGGTAGTTTATTCCGCTGTGGCAAGTCCTGTTTTATTTTTTTCCTTCTCCGCTGTCGCCTCTAACTTGCATGGTTTGGCATCGGTAGAGCTACACATCGATGGAAGTGCTCTTCAGTGTTTGAACCACACTGAACTGAGCTAAACTGAACTGAACTTAAACACTTAAAAAAACTGACTGACACTGTTCCAATCTACTATGACCTTTTATGTGAAGCTACTTTGACACAATCTACATTGTAAAAGTGCTGTACAAATAAAGCTGAATTGAATTGAATAAGGGACTAAGCTGAAGGAAAATGAATGAATGAATGAATGAATGCAATTATGTTTGTCATAAGCACATTATTAGACCCCCCCCCCCCCCCCCCCCACGAAATGATGCAATTTTTTTACTGAGGTCAGAAAATTTAGCCCCCTTTGATTTTTTTTCTTCTTTTTAAAATATTTTCCAAATAATGTTCAGCAGAGCAAGGGAATTTTCCCAGTAATGTCTGACAATATTTTTTTCTTCTGGAGAAAGTCTTTTTTGTTTTATTTCGTCTAGAATAAAAGCAGTTTTTAATTTTTTTTAATCACCATTTTAGGGACAAAATTATTAGCCCCTTTACGCTAATTTTTTCTTCGATAGTCTTCAGAACAAACCATCATTATACATCATACATAACTTGCCTAATTACCCTAACCTGCCTAGTTGACCTAATATACCTAGTTAAGCCTTTAAAAGTCACTAAAAGCTGTAGAAGTGTCTTGAAAAATATCTAGTCAAATATTATTTACTGTTATCATGGCAAAGATAAAATAAATCAAGTTATTAGAAATGAGTTATTAAAACTATTTTGTTCAGAAATGTGTTAAACAAATCTGCTCTACGTTAAACAGTAATTTGGGAAAAAAATAAAATGAAATTGTGAATAAGGAAGATCGGCGATTCATAGAAAGATTACAAATATGGGAAAAATAGCGGGATAGAATGGTAATATATGGTAGAACCTCTGGAAAAAAATGGTTGGTGTGATGTATATACACACCTACAAATATTTAAAGCGATAGTTCCCCCCCAAAAATCGAAATTTACATTCATTTACTTTACTCTCCATCAAGTGCTTCCAAGCATGTTTGAGTTTTTATTTCGTTGAACACAAAGGAAGATATTTAATACATTCTCATATAAGAGAAAGCTTGTAACCATTGACTTCAATAGAAAAAACTAATACTATGGAAGTCAATGGTTACAGCCTTTTCTGCATTCTTCAAAATATCTACTTTAGTGCTCAACAGAAAAAAGAAAATCTAACAGGTTTGGAAGAAGTAAAGTGTGAGTAAACGATGTCAGAATTTTCATTTCTAGGTGAACTGTCCCCTTTAAGTAACACAAAAAATATGCACCTAAACACGGTCATACACATTTCGACACGATTAGACTCCACACATTTCTTTTTAAATCTTTTGGGCCTTTTGGCATTCCATATACAACACACTTCAGTCAATATTTAGAATATGTCTAACATTTTAACACCGTATTGCAATGGTGTACTATGTATACCAAACCTGTCAACATTGAGATGTATGAATAGAAAGAGGGTGGAATCGCAAATAGGGAATATTAGAGTTTCATAGAAAGATAAAAAATATGGGAAAATTCTTTAGCGTTATAAAATGGTAAAATATGGCAGAATCTCTGGGAAAAAAAAGCTTGTAACCATTGACTTTGATAGTAGAAAAATACAAATACTATGGAAGTCAATGGTTACAGCTTTTCAGCATTCTTCAAAATATCTACTCAGAAAAAGAAACTCAAACTGATTTGGAACAAGTAAATGGGAAGTAAACGATGACAGAATTTTCATTTTTGGGTGAACTGTCAGCCAAAAATTAACATACAAAAGTCGCACCTTAACACGGTCATACATTTTAACATGATTAGACTCCACTTGTATCTTATAAAACCTTTTGGCCTTCCATATTCTTATTCAACACTGTATTGTTTTTGAATTAAAATCGTGAAACGATCCTCTACGAGAGTGTTTGGACCGAGGATATAGCCTTGAGATGGAACAGTGTGAAAGTCCTGCAGTTGTGTTGAAGGCAGTGCCCTTGTAGGCTGGCAGTGTGTGTGTGTGTGTGTGTGTGTGTGTGTGTTTTTCTGTTGTTTTGACTGTGTTTTGAAGCGCTCCAGACGGCATTGTGCAGGCGAAAGGCATGCGGTGCACATTCAGCAGCTTGCAGAGTTGAGATTTTTTTTTTCCTCTTTCCTGTTCTCTCATCCTTCCTGATTCTATCTGTTTCCCTCCCTTTTTTCTTTAATGTGGTCACAAGGGTAAAACAGTGGTATTTGGTAGCACTTCTAAAGCCTGTATATGTTGTGTATTTTATAAAGCATTCCTGAATCTGCAGCTTTTGGAGAATATGAACACTTTTGATCATCTATAGTTTTAAATCAGACTATATTTAAAGCAGGGACTATAAGACACACTGATATACACTATGATTGGATACAAATGATGTATTTTTAAAGGCATTATACCTCTGGTATAATGTTAATGTTTTGTATTGTAACACATTAATAATGATTACATGCATGCATTAAAGCGATAGTTCACCCAAACATTTTAATTGTCTTCGTTTACTCGTGCATGTTTTAAATCTTTAAGATTTTCATTTGCTTCTTGAACAGAACAGAAAAGAAGATATTTCGAAAAATGTTGAGTAAATTGAAAAACCTCCACAGTATTTGTTTTTCCTTCTCCACAAGTCAATGGTTACATGTTTCAAACATTCTTCAAAATATCTTCTTTTGTGTTCAACAGAATAAAGTAGGCTTAAAACCTCTTGAGAGCGAGTAAATTGTGAATAAATGTTCATTTTTAGGTGAACTATCCCTTTAAGAATATCTTCATAGTACATAACGTCTACATGCTTTTATTTTCGCCCCTTTCTTTCGAGCAGATAGAAATGCTTCAGGATAAATTGTATTAGATTATGCTTTTGTCTCCCTCTAGTGTTAAATCAGAGAACTGCACATTATCAAACTGCA